ATGCCGGCTCTGCCCCTGATCAGCCTCCTTGTCAGTCTCAGCCAATCCTATTGGGAAGCATTGTGATTGGATCAGGCCACCACTTCTGATGATGTCAGCAGACAGCTTGTTGTTCTGAGGCAGCATGCAGAATTACAGCATCAGGCTTGAATACAGTAAGATTTTGCTATATTTATGGAGGCATGAGGGGCCCATGGGTGCCAGATGGTGGTTTTAACACTAAAGGGCCAGGAATACATGTTTGTGTTCCTGACCCTATAGTGATCCTTTTAGGTGAGTTTTCTACCTTTTTAAAAGAGGCAAGCAGTGTCCGAGGGCTAATGTGGATTTATATAGATTTATATATTTATACTATAGGGTCATGTATACATGTTTGTGTTCCTGACCCTACAGAGTTCCTTTAACAAACACATGTGAGACTTCTTCAGTGAGGCTCTGCATGCAGACTGCCAGTGGACTAACTTTGATAAAAATCCAAAATGAATTTGATGGGTTTTTGTATTTCCTGCACAGGAGTCACTGCATTGTACATCAGGGTGGAACCATTTTGACATGCAAATTGTATGCTAGCACAAGTCTGACATCTCCTGAACGGAAACTCACCACAAGGCACGCTATTAAGCTTTTATCTATTCTAAGTGTGTGTCTTTTATACTCTGGTTTTAGCAACTTACATACCTGAAGCAAACCTTGTATGACCCAAATAACAGGGCCAGGGATTTTTTTTTTTTTTTACATTTTTTATTTTTGCAATGCATAGAATTAGTGCAACCAGACTCGAGGTATCCCAACGGCAATCCTCTAGCGACATTTCAAGCTTTACAATTGGAGTTAGAGATTGGACATGCACATTTTGTAGTTTAAATGAGACAGTATTGTAACACGCTTGATATAATAGAGTCAGACTAACATGGCTAGGTACGAGGTACCAGCAAAACAGTGTAACTTGTGAAACATACTAGTTGTTGCTATCAAAGTGCATTGACGGAAAACTACACATTTTTATAATAGTTGAACATACTCACACACTCTAGACTAAGCTGCAGTGTACTATTAGTGAAAGATTACTCAAACTGCTCTTATTTTAAAGGACCACTCTAGGCACCCAGACCATTTCAGCTTAATGAAGTGGTCTGGGTGCCAGGTCCCTCTAGGATTAACCCTTTTTTTTTTTATAAACATAGCAGTTTCAGAGAACTCCTGCTTCAGGCCGGTATGGAGGCCAGCGCCTGCGGTCCACACACTCGGTGTCTCGCTAATGAGGCCGGGTCCACCCTCTGTCAGGCGCAATGGTAAGCTTGGATGGACCTCCGCGCAGTGGGCCGAACTGGATGCACCTGTCCCAGGCCGGGGCAGCTCTATGTTTGCCGACCCGACGCGGTCGCCCCTCTGGATCGTGCGCCTCTTCGCGTCACCTGCGTGGTCGGGCTGATCTTGCCACTCTGAGGCTTGTGTCTCGGGTCAGGTCGCCGGCGAGGAGGTCGTGAGGGTCCCCTCCAGGTTATCCCCTTGGCCCCAGGTCCCGGTTTGTTGCTGCTCACCCTGGGGCTCGAGCGCAGTCCCGAGAGGACCCCTCGCCGGAGCTGGATGCTCGCAGGTGCAATATTAGGGAGAGCTTCTGCTTTACTTCGCTGGGCACCTCGCGGTGGGTTGTGTGGCCACTCGGTAGTCAGTGGTGCGTGCACTGGAGGCCACATGTGAGCCCTCAGCTGTTTCCAGAAGGAGGCGAAGATATTGTTTAGTCGGTGCTCAATATCCAGCCATGCACTTTGTGGGTAGGCTGTGTGGACGGCATCCGCCATCTTGGGGACCTTTGTGAGGGTAGGCTTGGGACTTGTGTTACAGTTGTTTGGACACCCATTTGCAGTGGGAGTTTGTGGGGGTGGACCGGGATGACCCCCACTGGTCCAGAGGGGGGAACAAGGGGCCAAGTCCTGGTACTTGGCCGGTCGCGGAGTCAGGAGAGCGGCCGTCCCTCCTGCGCCCGGCATGTTTGTAGGCCTCACCATCGTGTCGGGTGATTGGGGTTTGGCACGTCGCTTGATTAGTGCACCCCGATGTCACTGCTGTCTGGGTGGCCTTTCTGACTTGATTATGTGCCGTTTTGGCTATATTTGCTGTTTTCAGCAGGAGCTGCTTTAGTGAGCATCTTCTCTGCTCCGAGGTCAGGCCAAGGTTTTTTCGAAGCACCTGTTCCTCAATTTCTCCACTATATTTAATAGAAAACCAGGCGTTAACCAGACTTCAAGTCCCTAACCTAAATTTACAGATATCTCTAGACTGAGATTTCACTAGTCCATAAATACCCCTTTACTTAAAGGAACACTATAGGTGTAGGAATACAAAGTGTATTCCTGACCATATAGTGTTGAAAACACTATTTAGCCCTCCTCAGGCCCTTTAAATAAGAATAAAACTTACCTTTATTCCAGCGCCACACGGGTCCGCCAGTGCTGGCTCTACCCCCTTGGCTGAGATCATCAGAACTGGAAAGCATTGAAAGGTTAATGTGCACTTCCGGCAAAACGACACACTGCGCCAGTCAGCATCTCCTCATAGAGTTGCATTGACTCAGTGCATCTTTATGAGAAGAGTTCAGTGTCTCTTTGCAGAGCGTGGAGTCCTGAACATCAGTGCTGACTCAGGAAGCACCTAAAGTGGCCGTCTGAGTGAATGACACTTTTCTTTGAATGCGCAGTTGAGTTTGTACCTAATGTAGTACAACCTTATACCTTCAGATTATCATGACAGGCTCAGACAGTGCTGGGTTTATATTTAATATAGTGTATCCTACTGACTGCAGATTATCAGGACAGGCTCAAACAGTGCTGGGTTTATATTAAATATAGTGTATCCTACTGACTGCAGATTATCATGACAGGCTCAGACAGTGCTGGGTTTATATCTAATATAGTGTATCCTACTGACTGCAGATTACCAGGACAGGCTCAGACAGTGCTGGGTTTATATCTAATATAGTGTAACCTACTGACTGCAGATTATCAGGACAGGCTCAGACATTGCTGGGTTTATATTAAATATAGTGTATCCTACTGACTGCAGATTATCAGGACAGGCTCAAACAGTGCTGAGTTTATATTAGTGTATCCTGCAGACTGCAGATTATCAGGACAGGCTCAGACAGTGCTGGGTTTATATCTAATATAGTGTATCCTACTGACTGCAGATTATCAGGACAGCCTCAGACAGCGCTGGGTATATATCTAATGTATAATAATAAAAAATATATTTTTAAAATTCTTATTTTTTTAAAATAAATACATATATATATTGTCATTAACCTGCCTCCACCAGCAGACATTCCCTCCAAACACACACATCACCCTCACACAGCACACACAGCACCCTAACGCACTGAGCACCCTCACTCACACACACACACACACACACACACACACATCACCGTCACACAGCACCCTAACACACACACAGCACCCTCACTCACACACGCACACAGCACCCTCACACAGCACCCTAACACACTCAGCACTCTCACTCACACACACAGCACCCTCACACGCACACACACTGCACACCTCACACACAGCACCCTCACACAGCACCCTCACACCTCATACACACATCACCCACATCAACCTAACACACACAGCATCCACATCACCCTAACACACACATCACTCTCACTTACACACAACTACTTCTAAACATATATGTATACTACAGACCCCTCACACACATACTGCCCCCCTAAACACATTACATTCCAGACACACACTAGATCCCTTACCCAACTGTGCATCGTCTACACATATACACACACTAGATCCCTGTATACACTCTGAATCCTCTACACACACACATGCACACACACACACACTCACTAGATCTCATATACACACTCGGAATCCTTCACACACTAGATCTCCTACACACACACACACTCACTAGATCCCCTACACACACACACTCACACTTCACCACCTACACACACACTACATTTCTGACATACACACTCTGGATCTCCTATGCACACACTAGATTCCTTGTAAGGAAACACATACTACATTCCCTAAACACACACTCTTTACAACCCCTATACACACTACATCACCTATACACACACTACAGCCCGTATGCACACACTCGATACATCCCCTATACACACTATTCCCCCTATACACACACTCTCTACAGCACCTAGACACACATACATTACATTACACCACAAACACAACATGAAACCAACCTATTAACACAAAACCACACCACAATCAGCTCACTCTACACACACGCAATCCCACACACAAATACAGGGCCTTTTTCTCATGCTAAAGCTTTTCAGCGGAGCTCTGCGCATGGTCTGCCCTGGAAGAACATTGAACCAACATGCTCACTTTAAGATGGGAGTGCTTGTCATTGGGGATGGCAAAACACACCCTATCTGGCCCAACCTCTATTTCAGTGGGCCGCTGTGATTAAAAAATGCCCGGGCCAAATTTTTTTCCCAGTCCGGTCCTGCACTAAAGTGTCCCTCTGCCTTTGCGGTGTAGTTACCTCTACTTTAAAAGAGTTAAAAACCCTTTCATTCACTTACCTTATTCCAGCGGTGAGGTCCCTCGGCACTGGTTCGGGATCCTGCTCCTGTGATGTCAGTGTAAGAATATTAAATAGTTAACTTGTTTATATGTATTTTATGCTTTTATAAGGTTTATAACATGATTATTGCTGACTGAAGGAATATTGAATACTTAAACGACATAATATGCTGACTGTGACAGACTAAGGTATTTCTTCTATAGGATGTAAGACAATGCTAAATTTCAGGATGTCTTGCCCATTCCGATTTTAAGGATATTCTTTTCCAGACGTATGCAAAAGCTTATCTTTCCATTGTCAGAATAACGTAATACAAGGAAGTAATAAATCTTATAGTCTGTACTGTATTTGCATATACCATGGCTAATGTAAGCAAACTATGTATAAAAGCCAGCTCTGGAATACACTCATTTGAGAGTCTTGTAAAGCTGTTGTCCGTGTGTTATTGCTTACAAATGATCCTCCATCAACGTTGATTATGGTGACCGAGGGATCGAGAACCGAGGGGATTAGAGTCCATTACAACATTAACCCTTTCAGCTTGGTGTCTAGAAGTGGGATAGAAGTTGGATCAGCAAAACCATTGCGGTGAGTAGCCTTTTTGTGTCTTATTTGACGCTGATTGTCTATGACCCCCTTTGGTTCAGTAAGACTGTATCCAGTAGATAGGAAAGGTGTAAGGACTCTAGTTATATTGAGACTATAAGAGGTCTCCGGTTTATTAGACATTTGGTCTAAATATATATAGGGGTTCTTGGTAACCCAGGTTAGTATCTAAGATAGATACAGGTTTTTGAGACCATAAGAGGTCTCCGGTTTATTATAGGGTTTTGGTAACCCAGGTTAGTATCTAAGATAGATACAGGGTATCTCAGGTAGATACAGGTTTTTGAGACCATAAGAGTCTCCGGTTTATTAAGTCTATAGGTGTTCTGAGCAGCATGGTTTGTAGATCTTTAAGTATAACCCAAACTTCTCTTTCTCCCGGTCACCTTTGTTTGTCTTAAGTGTTTTTTGTGGGTGATTGTTTGTCTATATTGGGGACACACTTTGGTAAGTTAGTAGTGTCCCCACTCTGAATCAGCAGTATGGGAAATGTGAGTTCATGTCCTGAGTGACCAATATATGTATGTATATATGTGTGTGTATATGTATGTATATATGTGTGTGTATATGTATATGTGTATATATAAGATAGCAGTACTTTTAAACAAATGGAGGTTTTAAAAATACATAGGGATTAAGGAGAGAACGCAGGTAACTTGTTTTTCTTTGTTTTTTACCATATATTGGGGCTGATGTGTACTGTAGTCCTTGCTGCTGCCCAGTAGTGATGGGAGTGAGCGCAGGACTTATCTTTCTGCAAGATAGCAGTACTGTATATTAGAAAAGAAATGACTCACAGGTTGTACCTGATAGACCTACTTAAATCTTTTTATTTTATTCTTTCTGTCGCATAGAAGTATAAGTTTATTACTCTGTTTTATTGTAAGTTATTTCACATGGGATCTGTGTGCCTGGTATGATTGTTGCTTTAAAAATACTATAAGCCCACTACACTTATTATGAGAGTGGGATAGTGTAAATGTGTTGCATTGTTTGCATGATGAGCTCAGTATATTTTATAACTGAGACAAAAAGTCACTTCATTAGTATTTGAAAGTTAATTCCCCATATGGGATTAATTGTATAGAAACACCAATCAGCACATCTTCCCTGCCCTGTGTGTTTGTTGCAAAGGATCCATACTAAATATGATTTATGTTTGAAAATAACAGAGCAACATTTACATTTTCAGCGGTCCAACACATGCTTTATTTTGCACTGTAAACTAACCTTTTTATTGCAACAGGTTCCTTTTAAATGATCCAGTGTAATAACTACTGCTTGTGTCTTCTATGTCTCACATTATGTGTTATTTTAAATTGTGGTATATAGCCTGAATCAGACATCATGGACAAAGGTTTTTACCTGTATTACAAAGGGCTCTTGGAGACTGACCGGTCTAAAGGTTTGCCATGCCTTTAAAACATGGTATAGTATAAATTTTTAAGTCTCTGAGAGTTCTGAAAGATTCAGGTGAAACCATGTCTGTTTAATCTGGTCCAGATGTTTGTTCAATTTCTATAAGATTTAAGTTGATGCAGCATCATCTCAGATTAGTTAATGGAAGTTTTAGACAAATAGTTGAGTTATGAGCGCGCTATATAAATGGATCCTTTCTTTAAATACAATACTATAGTAGATTAAAGTAATGAAGTTAATTGAGAAAATGTATACATAAGAATCCCTAAAATAAATCTAAACTAAAATTGGTATACCTTCCAATAATATGTTCTGAATACAGCTGTTAACTGTTTATTCTGTGTAAATGGTGACTGTGATAATGTGTGATAAGTGTGCAGTTTAACTTGAAAGTGGTTTAATTTATATGTTGCTGTATTGTTTTAAATTATATGTGAATCAGTTTGTCACAGTCTAGTGATACTGATAAGAATGACAGCCAAATAACCTAGCAAATAACTGTTTTATTAGTTGTTGAATACTAGCGTTTTGGCCAAGAATAGTTGGAGATTTGGAGGTGTTAGTTTAAGATTGCTTTTATATTGTGTCTATCTGTGTTTCCTAGGAGGGAGACAGAGTGTGTAGTTGTGTGCCCATAAATGTGATTTCTGTATTGGCATATCTGCTGGGTACCCATTATGTGTTTCTATAAAGATATTGTTTTGTGAGATGACGTGTAATATTACATTGGATGCTGAGTATGAGTTATATGGTTTGAAATGAATTGGTGATTATGAGTTTAGTACTTCAGTAAGATGTGCTAAAATCTGGAACAAGGTGGAAGCTGAAATGTTGGGATTATGGAAGAATAAGCAGTCTATATTCACTGCTTTGGCATATAAGCAAGATGCAAAGGAAGAGATTGGTAATATGATTTTTGTAAATAAATTTTACAAGTGTTGGAAGGATGAGGCAGGTTTGATGTCTGGAGATGATATAGATCTCTTTAAAATACAGTCATGCCTTGGTAATATGTTGCCACAGTATTCTTTGCTTGTGAAACAATTGATTTCAGACTGGGCCAATTTGGATAGCTCAGATCTTCTTACCAAGGTTATAGAAAAGGAAAATGCAGGTTGTTTTGAATTAAGAAAGGATTTAGGAATGTAAGGTTGCTTATTATGCTCAGGGATTGCCACCTACACAGGCTGAGAGCGAGGATGGGATGGAGCACATAAAGCCCGTGGAAGGGGTGGTCAAAGAGGGGCAAGGGGATGGAGACAGGGAAATCAGGGTTATAGGGGCAGGGGTAACCAAGGAGGAATAGACAGGAACACTTGTTTCAACTATGGCCACTGGAGGAATGAGTGTCCACACCCCAGGAAACCCCAGGAAACCCCACACACCCCAACAACCCCACAATTCTCAAAATATGCCCGGTAGGCAAGAACAACACCAGACCCACTCCCAACACCACTGGCCAGCATATCGCTTAGTTCAGGACTTTAGAGCCCTGAATAGTTTAATTGTGCCCATTTCACCCATTGTCCCTGATGTGACATCCCTCATTACAGCCATTCCACATGATGCCACTTGCTTCACTGTCATTGATTTAAGTAATGCATTTTTTTTCTATACCTATTGATCAAGAGACACAGCTACTTATGGTTTTTACTTTTTGAAGGCTGTCAGTTTACCTGGACACGCTTACCCAAGGCTATGTGGATTCCCCAGCTGTTTATTCGTTGGTACTCCAACATACTCTAAAAAACATGGACCACCGGTCATGGTTCTGTCCTTTTTGCAAAATGTTGATGATTTGTTGTTATGTAGCCCTAGCTATGAGGCAAGCACTGTGGATACTGTCAGCAACTGTGGGTCACAAGGTTGTTAAACACAAAATGCAATTGTGTAAATCAAAGGTTGAATACTTAGGTTTTGTTCTGGCTTTAGGCACCAGACAATTGAGTCCAAAACGTATTGAGGTCATTCAGAGGATTCCAACACCCACTACTCGGAAGGAGTTGCTCACCTTCCTCGGCATGATTAATTACTGCCACCAATGGATCCCTGAATGTTCCCATTATGACTCAATCCTAAGGGAGGCTGTACGTTCTGACAGCCCTGAAAATGTCTGCTGGTCACCAGACATGCTATCTGCATATATTGCCCTTACAGTTGTTATTGTGCAAGCCCAGGCTTTAGGACTACCTGTGTATTGTAAACCATTTCATTTGTATGCTTGGGACAATTGTAAAACCATGGCCGCAGTCTGTGCACAAGAGCAAGGAGGCGGTATGCGTCCCATAGCATTCTTTTCCAAAGTAGTTCGAGCTCCGGTACAGGGTATGCCGGCGTGTCTCAGAGCATTGATAGCATGTGCAATGGCTGTTGAAACTGCTACTACTATCACACTAGGGCATCCTACAATACTTCATGCCAGTCACCAGGTCACTCAGCTGACAAATCTCACCACACAACACATGACAGCCCAGCGCTTCAGTGGTTATGAGATTCTTTTTTTTTAATACCCAGAATCTGTCTTTTGGATTAAACAAGGTTTAGAGAAAGATCAAAATGATCTGTTCTCTAAAGAGGGGAGAATAGGCATACTTGAAGAATAGGCATACTTGAAGCAAGCTGATTTATTTTCATCAGTCAGGCACATAGCAAGCACCATTCAATTCCTCATGAATTCATTTTATATTAGGAATCTCAGGCAGCATGTACAGTCTTTTGTAAGATCGTGTGAACGCTGCTCTTTTTACACACTTACAGATTGATTTTATTCATGTATCCAAAATTAGTAAGAAACAGCAATACTTACTGGTCATAGTTAATCAGTTTAGTGGATGGCATGATGCCTTTGTGACATCTAGGGA